GAGGGTTGCCTGGTACTTTACAGATGGGATCATGCCCCTGCCTCCAGCCTAAGTGAGCTGCAGCCCGTGGGCTGTGGGCCACGGTAACGCACGTGCGGCAGCAGAGGGCTGAGCTCAGCTGTGGCACAGGGCGGGCGGGCTGTGAGCATGCACAGGGACTCCCCACGCCCAGCACCTTCCCGTGGGCAGCAGCTCTGGCTTTAACCCTCTCTCCGTGTCATTGCAGCAGGATGATTCTGGCCTCAGTGAAGATGTTCTGCCGCGGGGGCTTAACTCCTAGCTGGAGGCTGGCAGCTGCCAGGAGAGCACCTGACTGGTAAGGTCGGGAGAGCCCAGCGGAGCTGAGGGCCCCAGCACCACCTCTCCCTGGATTTCCCATGGCCCAGTGCAGACTGGCCTGACCATCTCTCAGGCAGAGTGAGCCTTCGTCATCAGCTAGCAGAGCCTGGCTGCTCCGGGCCAAACCCCCAGCAAGCAGCAGCAGCCTCCCGCTCTCCGAACGGGGACTGTGGGGAACGAGGCCAGGTCCAGGCTGGCTGGTGCTCTAGCAGCAAGACAGAGCTGGCCAGCAGTGCCCATGGCCCCTCTTCTCCAGGCCCAGCTGCTGCTCCTGTAATTGGTCCCTGTGTGGTGCGGCTTGACCTGGCCACTCAAAGACTGCCTGGGAGCCTTGGGCGGCTCTGGGGTGAGCCAGCTCCCAAGCACAGTGGGGGGAGGTCTCTGCTCAAGGGGGACTGGCGAGGAAGCTGAGTAAGTCCTGGGGTTTTTGGCTAGTGGGTCTCAGTCAAGCCCTCTTGTGACAGGCAGCCGCGCCGGGGTCACCGCCTCACCCCTGCAGATGACGAGCTTTACCAGAAGACAACGCTGAAGTTGATGGAGCGGGAATCCCCCAGCATGATGCTCATAGACAGCTACAGCAGCCGGGGCTTCACTATCAATGGGGACAAGGTGGTGGGGCCCTGCGCCATCATCCCACGCGCCATCCTGCAGTGGAATGTGAGTGCCCCAGCTGGCAGGGCCTGGAGCCTGGCCCCGGGGGACCTCCCCCTCCCCACAGGGCCTGGGCCTTCAACTCCCCACTGTGCTGAGCTCCCAGCCCTGGGGAAGTGGAGTTCCCCATGCCCAGGTGGCCAGTCCAGTCCTGGGGGTGGGGGTGTGGGAGACCCAGGGAGCTAGTCACTTTGACTCTTCCCTGCCCACAAGGGGGAGTGCAGGTGCTTTGACCTGAGCCTCCCTGGCTGTGTTGAAACCTGCCCAGTCCAGGCAGCAGCGAGCTCCAGGGGCATGGCCCCCATTCAGGGCACAGGCTGCATTGCAAGCCGGGTGGCATTGTGGGCAGGAGAGGTGAGTGTCCTTCCTTTCCTTCAGGTTGGCTCTTACCAGGACATCACCGAGGAGAGCCTGGTGCTGTTCCGGCTGCTGGAGCCGAGAATAGGTAGGTGGGAGGCGCAGAGACGAATACTCTGCTGCTCCCTGCAGCGCTCTGCCATCAGTGGTTGGGTGTGGCAGTCCCCAGAGCGAGCCAGGAGCAGGGACTGCACTTGTGTGCTGGCACGTGTCCTGCTACCCTGGCCATGCGGGTTGTCTGAGCCAAAGCAGAACTTGCCCTTCCCCAGACTGCCCAGCAACGAGTGTCGGGAGTGGGGCGGCCAAGCTGGGGTTACTCAGGGTCTTACGCACAAGGCCTTGGCCGCTGCAGTCTGAATGGCCGGACAGGGCTGTGGCTGGGAGAGGGACAGGCCTCGAGGCCGGCTAGCGCCAGGATGGCTGTACGGGTTGTGTGCTCTGCACCCACTATTGAGGGGGGGAGGCGGGGCTGGGTTCTGCCATGTGGCCAACGCAGCCTCCCTCAGCTGGGCTTGTCTCTTGCTGCTAGAAATCCTGGTGCTGGGCCTAGGGGACAAGGTGGAGCGGCTGGAGCCTGCTGTCCTGAAGTTCATGAGGGAATGTGGGATCGCTGTGGAGGTGCAGGACACGGTAAGGGGGGACATGCTGGGACCATGGGGGTGAAGCTGAGCAGACCTGCCAGGCCCGTCCCAGGGCTGAACAAGGGGCACCTTTGGAGGAGAAGGGAACGGCTGTGTCTGTGCCCGCCCAGCCAGGCAGCTGGAGCTAGATTCTCCTAGTGCAGCCACAGGGGGGATGGCCTGGTGCCCCCACCCTCCCCAGGCCCTGCCCTCTGCATTGGCCCCTTGCTCAGCTGGGTGGAGGGCACGCGTGACCCTGCAGGGCAGGGAGTGCGAAGGGCCCCATGTACCCTCCAGCCCCATGACCTCATGCACACGCTGGGACAGGGCAACGCTGCCTTGGTGGCTATTGGCTTGAGACGCACTCCTGCCAACCCAAGGTTAATGTTACTTTTCTGATAGGTGCCAGGCAAGGAACTCTGGTCCCTGGGCTACAGATCACGTGTCTAGCAGTGAAAGGCAGGCGGGGACTGGGGTAAATGTTCCACATGGCCAAGGGCTCTGCTTTAGTCATTGAGTGTTTCTGGGCCTTTGCCTTCTCTTTCGCAGCCTAATGCTTGTGCAACGTTCAACTTCCTGATGAGCGAGCATCGTGCGACCGCGGCTGCCCTCATCCCCCCCAGTGCTGGCAGAGCCCTGATGTAGAAGCAGCTCCGCGGCTGAGCCCCTCTGGGCCTTGGGACTCACACCAGCCTGTGTACAAAGGGTTAAACACCTCACAGGGCCTGGAGTGGGAACATGAACTGTTACTAGGAAGGAGAAAATGTTTCAGAATAAACAGTGAGCAGCCCCCCTGCATGCAGCTTTTCCTGGGAAGGGCTGCGGGTGCCCAGCTGTGAATGCTTCCTTCCTCCTGGCCACTCACTCATCAGGGGAGGGGGGCAAAGGAAGACAAGGGGCTACAGCAGCCCTGGGGCTCCCAGCCCTTGGAAAGCAGGGGCAGATACCGCCATGTTCGTGCAGAACAGTTCTTGGCACAGGCTGCAACCATTCTTGGGGCTTCTCTCCCCCCTGGCCCCAGGAATGCCAGTGACGCCCTCAGCAGCATTCCTGTCAGAGGAGCCCTGTGAATGCCAGCCTTGCTGTGGGGCCTTCTGCCCCTTACAGGGCCCTGAGCGGGGCTGAAACTCACCTAGCCACATTGGGCATTACCAGGACCTGCACCTTCCACTCCACTTTTGGGCAGCCTAGCAGGAGAGTTTCGGAGCAGGGCACAGCTGGGTCATGTCCTGCCAGGTAGCAAGGGTTGGCTCAGCAGGGTTTGGGAAGGCAGATGGGTTTTGAAGGGGCATTTGCAGCAGAAGTTCCTCCACTTCCCCCAGGTCTGTTCTGCCCTTGCTGAACTACAGGCAGTAGAATAACCCTTGTGAAGCACATCAGCAAGCTGCAGGTGGGAGGTTCACAGGGACTGGAATTGGGACTGAAGCATGGGGAGACAGCGGTTGCTCTCACAATCTTGCACCAGAGCAAATCCTGGGACCAGCAACAAAACCCGCCTAAGGGGTGACCCGTGGGCATGACAGGGGACAAGAGTCCAGGGCTGCAACCTGGGGAGAGGCAGCCTGAGGTGGTGGGACTGAGACAGACAAGGAGCCCCACCTCTTTTCTTTTATTGTAAAACATGGCCAACACGTGCCAGGGCCTGAGCCCTGCAGGCAGGGTGTCTTCACAGGGATGGGGAGCAGCAGGTGCTTGCAGGATAATGGCACTTCTGTGACAGGAGCAGCTCAGGTGCGTGGCAGCTGAGGGCTGCAGAGCAGCAAGGTGCTGAGTACAGGCACAGACCCTCCTTCAGAAGAGGCGCTTCTCGTATCTAAACAGACAGGAAAGTTAGCCATGGGCATGGCCCCTCCACCTCCCGGCCTGCCCAGCACGCAGGGAGCCGGGCCTGGCTTGGCTTGCCCCCAGGAGCAGTACGCCAGCAGCAGCTGCTGCTCTCAAGCCATAGGTCCTCTGTGCTGGGGCAGGCAGTTGCAGTAGATCTGCATTGTCTGGAGAATCCAAGGCCGGTGCTATTATGGAACAGCTCCAGCTGCTACAAACAGCAGGTAAGCCAGTAACACCCCCCCCTCCCCCACCCCAGCCAGGCTCCCTGCCAGCCAATGGGATGCAGCCTGTACCACTGCATGCAGGGACAGCAAGGGCAGGGCCTGCAGCATTCGACTAGTGGGCTGGGCTGGGCCACATCCAACAGTGGTTTGAGCCGCTAAGAGCCCAGCGAAGGACACCGCTGGCAGGGGACTTACGAATGGAGGCCATGAACTCCTCCTTCCACTTGGGCAGACGTCGTCCTCTTTTCAAACTTCAGTTCTCCCGAGTACATCATGGCTCTGCCGAGGGAAAGCAGATCTGGGGTCATGCTCCCCAGGCCAAGGCCAGGCGGCCTCTGGCCCTATGTGCCATGGGGAGAGACTGTACTGTGCAGTGGGGCAAGGAGATTTCACACCAACTGCAACACAGGACGAGCAAGGGGTTGCCACATGCTTCCCCCCCGGGCCCATTTCTGGAAGGAGCAGAGCCAGGCGGCCAGCTCCAGCACCTCCCTCAGCAAGGCTGCCCAGGCAGCGCTCTCCCATCCCGTCCCATCCCAACGCACAACTCCTCCTTCAGGGGGTGCCTGCTGGGGCCTGGGCTGGGAGCAGGGGCTACAGCTCAGCTGCACCAGAGATCGGGGTCTGAGACATGGGGGGCCTTGGCTACCAGCTGCAAGGAGCCAGTTACCAGACGCTAGCTCAGGGATGACGAGATGAGGATTAGCTGAGCGCGCACACGGGGAAGTCTCTTACCTGACTTGGGTCAGACTCTTGGCACCGATATCCTGACAGGAGTGCTGGATCCCAGCAATCAGGTACGGGATGAACTTGTGGATAGAACCTTTGTCTTGCACTGCACCAGACACCCCCTGGGCCACTTTAATTTTATCTGTCTCACTGTGGATGGTTGGGGGGAAAAAAAAAAAAACATCCATGGAACAAACCAGACCTGGCCAGCTAAGGCAGTAATCTCAGACTCGGGGACCTGCCGCCCCTCATGCCAGTCTCTCCTACCTGAAGTATCGGGTCTGGCTGCCCAAGTTCTTGTCCATGGCATCCAATGATCCCATTCCCCGGTATTTCTTCAACCTAATTCCGTCTGAGAAGAAGTACTCTCCAGGGGCTTCCGTGGTTGCAGCCAGGAGAGAGCCCATCATCACTAAAGCCAGCGAGAAGATTAGCGACAGCTGAGTCAGCTATAGGGCACAGGAGGGGAGCTTACACTGGAGCAAGGCTTTGTTCAGCCACTTGGTGGGCCCCAGACCCTGCACCTCAGGTGGGGAGAGGCCCAGGGCCTCCATCTTAGGAGGGGGCAGCATGACCCTGTGATCTGGGCACAGGGTGAAAGTGGAGCTGGTCAGAATATACCCGGTTGCCATTGTTTGCTGGGCCCCTCCCCCATTAGCAGGTGTTGCTGCATTGACAACTCCCCCCGGAGGAGGAGGTGTTACCCTCACCTGGCTCTAAGGGAGGTGGGGGCTGAGCAGTCCTGAGGGAGGAACCGTAGGAACAGACAAGCTTGGAGAAGGGCTCAGCTGATCTTTTAAGTCATTAATTTCTTTGTTTGATAAACCCTGAGGAAGGGGTAAGTCTGGACCCTACAGAGCATGTGGACTTGAAGAACAGACTGAGAAAGACAACTGCTTAGAGGCTCACTGGGTTTGTGGTTAGCCCTTGTACCTCTGGGCAAAAGGCCTAGATCACGAAGGCGCCAAGACGCAGCCAGGTTTGTTTGGCACAAGTGGCACTCTGCTTGGAAGAAGCCTCACACTAGTGCACGGGGCATGTGGCACCAGCAGACCTGTCTGGAGAATGCTGCACTGTCCTGGCAGAGTCTCCCTGCCCTGACACTAGAGTAGATCAGTGCCCTGGGCACAATGTACGTTCACTGCTGAAAAGCAGCCTGGGCAATGTAAATACACCAGCAATCTCCCACTCCCAGCCTGGCTGTGATGGTGTTGGCACTCATGCGGACACGGTCAGGGCTTTGCAGAGCTCCCGTAACACTGCCAAGCGAGCGCTGCAGAACAGTCTGCAGGCAGTAAGAAGCTCATTCACTGGGTTGATATTCCAATGGCAAAGCAAATCCCCCAGAAAGGAGACACCCCTCTGAATGCCTTAAGCTCCCCCCGTCCCCCTCACCTGTGGAAGCACCGAGTGCCAGGGCCTTGGCAACGTGTCCCACGGTTTGGATCCCTCCATCTGCGATCACCGGGACCCCAAATCTCCTGGCATATTCGGACACTTTGTACACTGCTGTGGCCTGGGGCCTGCCGCAGGCCAAGACTAGATCCAGGAAGAGAAAGGGTGAACCGTCAAGTACCAGGCGCTGCAGCAATCCCCTTGCTTAAAGGCCCTTCAGCTTTCAGTCACACACAGACCTCCCCTGGAATAAGCCACAGGAAATCAAGCAGCCCTGGCCCCAAGTCCCAGAAGGCAGGTGAACGGGGGCTATGAAGTAACTGCTGCCCCAATGCCACAGAGAAGCTTTTGCAGTGGTTACAGAACGACCAAGAGCCCTGGTGAAATCATGGACGCCAGCTGCTCAGTCCTTAGGGGCACTGATTCGCTCACTACCTAGTGTCCAGCAAGACACAGAAGGAAGCAGGGCCAGACCCAAGAAACCCAAGCCCAATGAGTCCCCAGATGATTGCTGTGTTCCCTGCACTGCTGATCACTACAATGATGGGATGTCAATGTGCAGCCAGGAAGAGGCATCTGACCAAAAGGAGAGCGTTTCTATTGATACGCAACAACAGAAAAGGAAACAGACACAGGGCGGACTGATGTGGTGCTGGAAATGTAAGTTTCCCCAGCATAGCAGGGCCTCCTTAAAGTTTAGCCATCAGTGGGGGCGAATAAAGCGTTGGTAAATCTGAGACCAGTCTGTAGCAACTACAGGCTTTTCACTACACAAAGAAACACTTGAAGGGAAACCACTGAATGACACGTATTCGGGTACATTTACCAGCCAAGTGCATGCACATATGCTGCAATAACCTTCCCATCCCTCAGATTCCCCCCGCAACACAATCACCAGGAGGCCTTCCCTCCAATCACAATTAGCACAGTACCCAGATGAGATTATGAACATGCAAGATTAGTAATTCAGGGTGCAAACATCATGTCTGATGCAGGGTTTCAAACTGCCACCTGGGAGCAGCACCAAGTGTGCCAACTCCTAGTGACTGGTGCTCTGCCAGAAGAGGGAGCCTTTACAAACTACTTTTTGCACTGCTCACACACATTTCTCCCTGTGCTCACACCAGCAGCTCAGGTTGGGAGGAGAATTCCAGGTAGCGATCGTGAAAGAGTCACTATTAATTGGACCCAGCCAGCTATGAAGAAGTGTCTGCTAGCAATAATGTGAATGCTGTTAGTGTTAAAGAGATGGTCTCACTTGGTAGTGCATTGCCGAAGGAGAGGCTGAGGGTGCCCGTACAGTAACTCCTCACTTAACGTTGTCATTATGTTCCTGAAAAATGCAACTTTAAGTGAAACAATGTTAAACGAATCCAATTTCCCCATAAGATTTAATGTAAATGCGGGGGGGTTAGGAATTTTGGGGGCAGACAAAAGGCATTCTATACTGTTCTGTGGTTGGGAAGTGCCCCTGGCTTACCCCACACAGGCACAGCGTGCTGCAGGCAAGGACGCTAGGAAGCACCTTCGCAACAGCGGCAGCTTCCCCGGAGAAGAACAGGCGCTGACTTTTGCCAGGAATGCTCCAGGCCCGCCTCTTCCTGTCCCCGCTCCACTCCAGGCCCACCTCTTCCCACCCCCACTCCACCTCCTCTCCGGAGCACACCGTATCCCCCCTTCCCCTGAAAGTCCTAAGTGCCGCCAAACAGCTGTTTGGTGGTGGGGGAAGCGTTGGGAGGGAGGGAGGGGGAGGAGGCGGAGAAGAGGATGCTCCCCTGTAAAGTCGCTGCTCTTCTACAGAATCTTACAAGCAGTGGACAGAGCAGGCAGCCAAACGATGTTATAAGGGAACATTGCACAAGTTTAAACGAGCAGCGATGTAACTCTGAAACAACGTTAAGCAGGAGGACGTTAAGTGAGGAGTTACTGTACGGACATCTGACGGCACCATCTCCTCTGTGCAACAGCCTGATTTCAAAGAAACCCAGGGCCCCAAGCCTCTGGATCCCATTATTCTCTACAAAGAACAGAAGTTTGTAGCTATATTAGAGAAGTAATCACTGAGACCAGCCCTTTATAATTCACCTCTTGGCACAGGGCACATGGGACCATCACATGACTATTTGGCTGTCCCAGCTCCCAGTGCCAAGACAAACAGGAGGTGCAGGCTTCCAAAGCAGGGTTCAAAATGTACGCACACTTCAGCTGTACTCGGAGCAAAGGCTTGTAAGGGTGGCGCTAAGAGAGGACTGTCATGCTAGTGGGTACAACCCAGGATCCAAACCAGAAACCTCTTTCCCTTTGAAGTGCTTCACAAATAGCAAATAGGGCAAAAGCCAAGATTCATCTTGGTCACCTGCTTGATCCTGTAACTTCAAAAAGTAGCGCTCGCGGGGTGAGAGGGAGAAGAGCCCTTCCTCACACACGCAGATCAGAATCACTGGCAAAGGGCATGGTTCTGGGATGTACCTTCCAGGTTCGCCACAGGGTGAAAGTCCCTGTTAAAGTCCCGTTCACACAGCACGGCTAGCTTCACACAAGGCGAAATGTAGCTGATGTGTAACCTCTCCCATCACTGAGAGGAGACCAGATTCAGAGCAGAATTGCAGGCTCTGCCTAGGCACCATCCTCCCACATACAAGCACCTGCTGCACCGTCCAGTTAGAGGCTCAGCAGTGCCCCTGAGGAAGCTCAATCAGGTTTTTTAATTGGGTTTGGATTAAAGACACTGACGAGCCCAGCTGGCCTCGATTAGGACAATTCAGAACCCTGCTTTAGAAATCCGAAAGACTTCTCAGCATCAGTTTTTGGGTCAACTACCAGTATCCAAAGCCACAAAACCCCAAGTGCATCTACAACTCAATTATTCTCAAACAAGCGGAGGGGCCATGTGCAGCCAATCAGGGTCCTGCTTCAAGACAGAATTAAGGTTGAGAACAGGGCAAGTGACTTACTATAGGTGCCCATGACAGAAGACGGGCACTTGGGGCTGTGGGACTTTAGTTCTGGAGGGATCTGTGGAGCAGCTAAACAAAACAAATAAATCAAATTTAGAAACAAACAGCAGCAGCAGAATAAAGGGCCCCCCAGCAGTGACTTTACCAGGCTGAGCCTGGGATAACCGAGCCAGAGCTCGGATGTCAGGGGTCCCTCTTAGTCCAATCCACTAAGAAGGATGCCAAGCTGAAGGCCATGTCCAGGGGAGCACAACCTGGCACTCAGCATGTGCTCTCCCTACTCCAGGGACATTTCATGGAGAAATCCATCTGATGCTGAAACACTGGCTCCTCAATCTGCTCCTGGCGTTCCTGGCACAAACACCCGCCACACGACGTCCACTGGGAAGTACAGATGTTTGGTCTCTGCTGCCAAGATAGGGACAGAGCTCCCAGAGTCTGGCTGTACTCATCACATTGTAGTGCTGGAATCTGCCATCATTTCCTCCAGTTCTCCATGGGTGAGAATGAAAAGAAGCAGGATCGCGCTGTGCGTGAATGGCCTGGCCCAGACCAGGAACTGCTGGTGCAGCAGGGGATAGGGTGGGGAAGGGCGGCTCTTCAATAAAACATTCTACACAAAAGAGACACGACAGTTTCTCCAGCGCAACACCTGGGCCAGTCTCCAAGCAGCAGGTGCTCCCTTAGCGGGCAGAGCGAGAACACAGATCCTCGGTACAGGGGGCTGTCCCCAAGGTGTGTCCTCGTAGGGCTCCAAGTACTGCTGCTGGGATCTGCAGGAAGACCCTGCATGCATATGGCAAAGGGCTGCTTCTCTAGGCAGCGGCTTGTTTCAGGTCCATTACAGCAAAGGCAACTGGTGAAGCTCAACAGAGGGGCTCTGCAGCCAGACTGCCGCAGTGATGGCCCCTCACAAGGCATCCACACCCCTGCTTGCTTGTTTCACTTGGAGCTGTGATGTCCAGTAGCAGCTTTAAAACCAGTTTTCATTCCAGGACATGCCCGGCCACTGAGTCTAGTAGCTAGGCTAGAGAGCTGTGCCTAGGAACGCTGCCTGCCTGGCACAGGAGCCCCTGGGATCCTGCTAACTGCAGTAGCTGCATTCAAAAACCTCATCTTTGGCGGGCAATTGCACCCTGGCACCAATCCAGCCAACCAACACTTTCCATTAAACACACAAGGATCTTACTGTCAGCTGCAGCTGCCCCAGGGCAGGGCCACACAAACAACCCTGGGAGTTTTATCACCATCCTCTCTGCTGCCCTCCTAACTATGCCAGGCAAATGGAAACCCCCTACGTCTGTACCCTATGCCCTCTCCTTTGCCCTGCTCACTTAGGTGGAGATCAGGTCGAGTGGCACGTCTATGCTCCCACACCCAGCCCTGGAGTGTCTTTGGCACTACACAGCTGTAAAATCATATCCCCATTACACCGGACCTGCGGCAGACAGTCACCACCACTCGAGGACTGAATCACCGCAGACTTATCGCAGGCTCTGGATAGGAATGTTTTGCAGATATTTGTTCTTCTAGCTATTGAGAAGATATTAAAAATTTTCTTTACCTTCTTGCGTGATGCAGATGGAGCCACTGCCCATCCCGACCCTTAGAGCATCGACCCCTGCATCGATCAGATTCTTCGCCTGAGCCGCCGTCACCACTGAAGCAAACAGACGAAGGGTTTTAAATGAGAACGTTGTCTCCTTTCACCACTAGTAGCAGCCAGTCGCCCTCCTCCCTGAGCTGGGTTCTCTGCACTTGGGCATCTCAGTGGGTCCCACAAACAGCACTTGATTCAGCTTCGCAGCCCCCGGATCTAGGGATGGAGAGTGCTCCCTTCTGGAGGCAGGCCAATTATATTGGTGTGCATGGTAACACAACCGGTCATGCACAAACTCAGTTTCAAATCTCAACAGCAATCGGGCACCAAATGGCTGGTTCTCAGTCAACCGACAAGTGTGCACACATCACCCTGCTGCTCTTGTGCAGGCACCAGTCACCACAGCCAGGGCATGTGCACACTGAACCAGGGTGAAAGCCAGGCCTTGATGTTTGACTGCTCTAGGAAGAGACCCTGCCAGCTTGGTGTGCAGGGACCAGGGGTTAGCTTTACACCTACACAGCCGCCCCTTGGGGGGTTGGGCCGGATCAGCCTGATGCCAGAGCCTGGGGGGAGGTGGGGGGGTTAGCCTGTGACTGGGTCCCTCCCAACGTGGTTTGTGTCTGACTGATTTCCCAGGGCCATGCTTCTCCACTGCCCTTTTCACTGGCATTGTACTGGCCGCTGAATCCACAACATCACTTGATGTTCACGTGCTTCCCCACTAACCCAATGGCGCAGGGGAGTCCGTGCTGCAGCTAGACTAGCGAGACATTGTAATGCATTGTACAATGGCAGAGGAAGTGTGAGACATGCTTAGGGCCATGCAGGGGACAAAAGGCTGGAGGAGGCACTATGCTGTGTTAGCAACATATTTGGTAACGCAGATAAAGACAAGAGGAAGAGAGTTAAACTCTGCTCTGCCAGATTCAGATGGATGTTTCTGTTTATTTTCCACACAAGGTAGGAGTCCTCCAAGGACCAGACCCCTGAAATTCTAGAAGGATTTTAAACCAGTGTTACAGAGCCCAGAGAGCAAAGAGTCAAGGCTAGGGATTGCACACACTGCATTAACCCTGAGTGAGAAGTTTTCACACAGAATGGAAGTGTCCGTCAGGTGCTGTACCATATTCTATACACCTGACACACAGGTCAAAGTCCCACTGGGCAGGTGACAGGGACGCTCATTTAAAGCAGGTCAACACGTCTCACAACAACTGAAAACAGTCAGTCTAGAAGCTAAAATTGCATTTAGTAGATTACCATTGCCTCCAATGACCTGTAGGTTATGGTATTTCTCCTTGATATACTTGATCATGTTGATCTGGAAAATGGAATTGCCCTGAGAGGAATCCTAGAAGAGAAAGAAAAACAAAATCAACCAAAATAGCTACAAAGGATTTTAAATCCAGCCCTAGGAGAGTCACAGAGACTTCAGCACATTGCAAACAGGTGATTAATTCACTTCAGTACTGAAAGACCCCACTGCCCAGGCTCAGAAGGCCAGGAAGACATGAGCTACAAGAGAAAACCACCACAAACTTCCATCTTACAGGACACTTCAGCCTAATGAGTGCAGGGCGGGCGGGCGGGCGGGCACGCACACACACACACACACACACCCCTCACGTTGAGGGTTAAGAGAAACATCTAAGAGCTGCATTCTTTAGAGAATTGTGAGAGTTTCGGGGCCTCAACTTCATACTGCCAAGAGACAGCTGCCTTGCGAACCCCAGGACAAGAGGAGGGCTCACTAACACTGCCCTGGAAAGAAAGGGTGTGGGGCGAAGGTCAGTCTGAGCCCTTAGCGCTGGAACCGCAGCTAGCCACCTGTCTAGTCCTCATCGTCCAAATGGTCCTGTCCCACCCCCAAGAAACGCATGTGTCCATGGTAAAGTCTATATGAGTGAGGAAGGATGGTCCCGTGGTTAGAGCCCTGACCTGGGCTAGGAGACCAGAGTTCAGTTCCTGCTCTGTCACAAATACCTTGTCACGTAATGTCACTAGACCGGTCTCCCATCCCTAGAACCGGAATGGCAGGACTGCCTGGCCTCAGAGGGGTGGTGAACATTGTCAGGTGCTCAGCTACTACGGTGATGGGCCCCCCGAATACTGAATTCAAACAGACCCCAGAGATGCTCAAGGACAACTCTTCCCAACTCCCATGCACGCGGCTCGGTTTGTCGTTCATTTTACTCTGGGTGGGTCTTCACAGCACAGTCAGCTCCAGTTCTGACAAGTTCACACTCTGGTTACTGTACTGTAGCTAGCCTGCCTTGGGTGAGGCCACGTCTACCCCACAAACGCTAGAGCGGCACACAGCTGCAGCTGCGCCACTGCAGCCCTCCAGTATAGACACAACCAATGCTGACAGGCGGGGTTCTCTCCTCGGCATGGGGTAATCCACCTCCCTGAGAAGCAGTAGCTAGGTCGACAGAAGAATTTTTTCATCAACCTAGCACGGTCTATATTGGGACTCAGGTCAACACCACCAGTCAGGGGCGTGGATTTTTTCACACCCCTAAGCCATGTAGTTAAACCGACCTACATTTCTAGTGTAGACCAGACGACAGCCATGGAAGGGGTTTTTCTGTCGCCACAGGAACTCCATCTCCCCGTGCAATGGCAGCATTCTTCCCTCGAACTAACTGCAGCTGGCATAGCTACGGCACTCAGACGTGGGACTTTTCACACCTCTGAACACCAGAGCTATGATAAGCTAGGTTTTAAGGCCAGGCCTGACAGCAACCACACTTCAAAACACCACTGGCCTTACACAGAGAGCTCATTAGCAGCACAGAGCAATTGGATTAGCTATTGATGAGATCCCCACTGCATTACTAGCTCCAGAGTCAGCACCACCTCCCCATCCACCTCATGAGCTAGCGAGCGTGAGTTTAAAGCACTGCTTAATTCCAGCTAGAGAATTTTGCATGTGGACAGGAGTCAAGTCAGGGGTAAGATGGATTATAACTCAAGTTACCTGTGTGGTGAAGACACCCTAAGAGGACAGGAAAAGTTAGTCGCCTTTTTCCCCAAGGCGGCAGCAGCAGCAGTCCCTGCTTATGGAGGCTCCACATTAAGTGCACCAGCTCCCCTTGTTAGAATGGGAGATAGAAGGTGCTTATGACTAATCCAGCTAACTCACATGGCCTGTGAAACAAGCGTTGTATAACCATGCTCTGTGAATATCTCCCATTTCCTTTCTAGATGGGCTCTCAGACTAACCTATCGACAGCAAGGGCACGTGCAAACGGCTGTGCCCAAATGATTAGAGACGTGGGGCTGACAGGACAGACTACTGAGAAGTTCCATATTGGTCCCTCTGTGTTATCTGTTTTAAGTATCAGGTAATTAAAGGACACAGTACTGTTATTTCACACAAGGAGCCCAACACGTGCTTGTACATTAGTCCTATGGTCAGTGACAGACATCAAGCGAGCAGAGCACCTTTGTAATTACAGCGAACTAGCCTGACATCACTATATCGAGCTGCACAAATCACCACATGCTAGCAGACCAGTATCTGTATCCACACACATGCCATCAGAATGCCCCACCATGAACAGACTGGCCATTTAGACTAGAGTCTCCCTCCTGCCCCAGCCCTGCAGGTCCAAGCTAGGCCACTGGCACAAGGGGGCCAGTCACAAAGCCCATGATGAAGCTATGCTATGAAGAGGGATGCTAATCAGAAACTTGTCAGGATGTGCTGAATTCACTCAACTAAGAGAGAAGCCAAACCCTGGTGCTCACCAAGACGACGACATCCACCCCCGACTGCACTAGGAGATCCAGACGGTACTTGTCATCTTCATGGGTTCCAATGGCAGCACCACAGAGCAGTTGCTTCTTAGCATCTTTAGATGCGAGCGGGTAATCGCGGTTCTTCTTCAGATCCGTGCGGGCGATTATAGCAACCAGCTCATCCTCCTCATTAACAATGGGCAGCTTGCCTTGAAACAAATATAAATACACCATCATTTCAGAACCTCCCACCAGCCCGGCCCTCAGGGCAGGAGCTCCCAGTTAAAGGAACCCGGCTCACACTGTATGCCAGAGATGCAAAGAGTGACCGGCAGCCTGAGCAGGACTTGCTTTTGAAGCCCAGCTGGCAGAATGAGAAGTCAGTAGGACTGGGAAAGGGCTCAGGATTAGGATCCTGATCGTGCTGCATAGCCTTGAATTCAAAAAGGGCACTTGTACTCAAGTCACTCCAGACCCCCCACAGAACTGAACTGGTCACAAGCCTCGGAAACCAGACACTAGAAACTGGATACAAAATTAAGAGCCTGCGACCAAGTGCGCTCTTGGCATTTACAGCTTTTCAGCACCTTGACTGGCAGGAATCCCTGAAGTTCTAAGCAGACTCAGAGATGAAGGTGAAGGTTTTAGTCTTTTGGCAGGTCTTCACGCTCGTTTGGGGGTCCAGGACACGCCTGTCCTTACCATCCCTTCTCCCCAGGGAGATTTGGAAGGAACACCCCATGGGACACCTGGCATCAGTCTTTTATTGTAGGGAAAAACATTTGCATTGAGAAACAAACTGAATGTGTGGAGAGATGAGCATGAGAGCATTTCCCATACATGCACAAGTGTGTGCTCACATTCGCCCCCCCCACCCCCTTATCCCCTGCTCTATGCCAAACACTGTTCACCCACGCAACACACAGCTAGTCATGGTACCTTTTTTGCTTCTCTGCAGAATTTCATTTGCTTCCTTTAACGTTACCCCTGCAGGGGCTACAACGAGATCATCCCGCTTTGTCATAATCTGATAGAAAAGGGGGCAAAGAATGAAAAGTCACACACGAGTGAGAGCTCCTTCCCACTTGATCCAGGACAGGAAACACAAACTGCCAAGCAAAGATGCTTCAGTGGCCACTTGCTAGGAGCCAGAGGGTCCCAACTAAACGCTACATATGGGATGGACGAGGGAGCACGCAATAGCGTGGAGCAGCCCATGAAAATGAATCCTCAGCCTGCAGCGCTCTATACCCATTCAAACAGTCCACTCAAATCCACATGGAGCCCGGCACAGAGCTGTGTCCATAGGCTGTATGTCAATACTGCCGGCCGACCCAGGGAGATCACCCTGAGAGAAGGAAGGACCTCACACCCTCTACTTGGGATTTCAGCAGCACAGACTCCCCTCACATCACCAGCTACACAATCCAGACCAAAGTACTTTTAATAGGTTAGGAACCTAACTCCAGCACTCGTTTGCCTGATATAATCCCAGCCTTTTACTGTTCTGGCAGAAACTCCACCAGTCACTGGGCTTGTTTTCAGACAGCGCTCCCCAGCACGCTGGCTTTAGGGGGACTCTGCTTGGGAGTGCCTGAGGCTGCAGAATAAGGGCAGGGGATGGGAGGAAGAGGCCACATCTAAATTAGGGCTGTCAATTAATCGTAGTTAACTCACGCAATTAACTCAAAAAAATTAATCGTGATTAATCGCACTTATAACAATAGAACACCAATTGAAATTTATTAAATATTTTTGGATGTTTTTCTACATTTTCAATATTGATTTCAATTACAACACACAATACAAAGTGTACAGTGCTCACATTTTTTGTTACAAATATGCACTGTACAAATGATAAACAAAAGAAATAGTATTTTTCAATTCACCTCATACAAGTACTGTACTGCAATCTCTATCGGCAAAGTGTAATTTACAAATGCAGGGTTTTTTTGGTTACGTAACTGCACTCAAACAAAACAGCGTAAAACGTTAGAGCCTGTAAGTCCACTCAGTCCTCCTACGTATTCTGCCAATCACTCAGACAAACACGTTTGTTTACATTGATGGAAGATACTGCTGCCCGCTTCTTCTTTACAATGACACCTGAAAGTGAGAACAGGCGTTCGCATGGCACTTACATGCCAGGTATGCCCAACATTCGTATGCCCCTTCATGCTTTGGCCACCATTCCGGAAGACATGTTTCCATGCTGATGATGCTCGTTAAAAAAATAATGCGTCAATAAAATGTTTGATGTACTCCTTGGGGAGAGAATTGTATGTCTCCTGCTCTGTTTTACCCACATTCTGCCAAATGTTTCATGTTACAGCAGTCTCAGATGACCCAGGACATGTTCGGTTTAAGAACACTTTCACAGCAGATTTGACAAAACGCAAAGAAGGTACCAATATGAGATTTCTAAAGATAGCTACAGCACTCGACCCAAGGTTTAAGAATCTGAAGTGCTGTCCAAAATCTTGAGGGATGAGGTGTGGAGCATGCTTTCAGAAGTCTTAAAAGAGCAACACTCGGATGCGGAAACTACAGAACTCAAACCACCAAAAAAGATCAACCTTCTGCTGGTGGTATCTGACTCAGATGATGAAAATGAACAGGTGTCGGGCCGTACTGCTTTGGATCGTTATCAAGTAGAACCCACAGCATTGGCCTGCTAAACCCAGGGTTGAGAGTTCAATCCTTGAGGGGGCCATTTAGGGATTTGGGGCAAAAATCTGTCTGGGGATTGATTGGTCCTGCTTTGAGTAGGGGGTTGGACTAGATCTCCTGAGGTCCCTTCCAACCCTGATATTCTATGATTCTATCAGCATGGAAGCATGTCCTCTGGAATGGTCGTTGAAGCATAAAGGGACATATGAATCTTTAGCGCATCTGGCACGTAAATATCTTGCAACGCCGGCTACAACAGTGCCATGCGAACACCTGTCCTCACTTTAAGGTGACGTTGTGAACAAGAAGCGGGCAGCATTATCTCCTTGCAAATGTAACCAACCTTGTTTGTCTGAGGGACTGGCTGACCAAGAAGGAGGACTGGGTGGACTTGTAGACTCTAAAGTTTTACATTGTTTTATTTTTGAATGCAGGTTTTTTTGGTACATAATTCTACATTTGTAAGTTCAACTTTTATGATAAAGAGATTGCACTACAGTACTTGTATGAGGTGAATTAAAAAATACTATTTTTTGTTTTTTACAGTGCAAATATTTGTAATAAAAAATACAAAGGGAGCACTGTACACTTTGTATTCTGTGTTGTAACTGAAATCAATATATTTGAAAATGTAGTAAACATCCAAAAATATTTAAAATAAATGACAGGTTTCAGAGTAGCAGCCGTGTTAGTCTGTATCCGCAAAAAGAACAGGAGTACTTGTGGCACCTTAGAGACTAACAAATTTATTAGAGCATAAGCTTTCGTGGGCTACAACCCACTTCTTCGGATGCATACCTGGAAATCCTGGACGCCCCATCATCTCAGGCATTGGCACCCTAACATCAGGCTTGTCTGGTTATGTGGACTCTCTCCTCAGACCCTACGCTACCAGCACTCCCAGCTATCTTCGAGATACTACTGACTTCCTGAGGAAACTACAATCCATCGGTGATCTTCCAGAAAACACCATCCTGGCCACTATGGACGTAGAAGCCCTCTACACCAATATTCCACACAAAGATGGACTACAAGCTATCAGGAACAGGATCCCCGATAATGTCACAGCTAACCTGGTGGCTGAACTCTGTGACTTTGTCCTCACCCACAACTATTTCACATTTGGGGACAATATATACCTTCAAGTCAGCGGCACTGCTATGGGTACCCGCATGGCCCCACAGTATGCCAACATTTTTATGGCGGACTTAGAACAACGCTTCCTTAGCTCTCGTCCCCTAACGCCCCTACTCTACTTGCGCTACATTGATGACATCTTCATCATCTGGACCCATGAAAAAGAAGCCCTTGAGGAATTCCACCATGATTTCAATAATTTCCATCCTACCATCAACCTCAGCCTAGATCAATCCACACAAGCGGTCCATTTCCTGGACACTACTGTGCTAATAAGCGATGGTCACATAAATACCACCCTATACTGGAAACCTACTGACCGCTACACTTACCTACATGCCTCCAGCTTCCATCCAGGACACACCACACGATCCATTGTCTACAGCCAAGCTCTAAGATATAACCACATTTGCTCCAATCCCTCAGATAGAGACAAGCACTTACAGGATCTCTATCAAGCACTCTTAAAACTACAATACCCACCTGCTGAAGTGAAAAAACAGATTGACAGAGCCAGATGAGTAGCCAGAAGTCACCTCCTACAAGACAGGGCCAACAAAGAAAATAACAGAACACCACTAGCTGTCACCTTCAGCCCCCAACTAAAACCTCTCCAGCGCATCATCAGAGATCTACAACCTATCCTGAAAGATGATCCTTTACTCTCACAGATCTTGGGAGACAGACCTGTCCTCGCTTACAGACAACCCCCCCAATCTAAAGCAAATACTCACCAGCAACCACACATCACTGAACAAAAACACTGACCCAGGAACCTATCCTTGTAACAAAGCCCGATGCCAACTCTGTCCACATATCTATTCAAGTGACACCATCATAGGGCCTAATCACATCAGCCATACCATCAGGGGCTCGTTCACCTGCACATCTACCAATGTGATATATGACATCATGTGCCAGCAATGCCCCTCTGCCATGTACATTGGCCAAACCGGACAGTCTCTACGCAAAAGAATTAAAGGACACAAATCTGACATCAGGAATCATAATACTCAAAAACCAGTGGGAGAACACTTTAACATGTCTGGCCATTCAATGACAGACCTGCGGGTGGCTATCTTACAACAGGAAAAACTTCAAAAACAGACTCCAAGAGACTGCTGAGCTGGAATTGATATGCAAACTAGATACAATCAACTCAGGATTGAATAAGGACTGGGAATGGCTGAGCCATTACAAACATTGAATCTATCTCCCCTTGTAAGTATTCTCACACTTCTTATCAAACTGTCTGTACTGAGCTATCTTGATTATCACTTCAAAAGTTTTTTTCTCTTACTTAATTGGCCCCTCAGAGTTGGTAAGACAACTCCCACCTGTTCATGCTCTCTGTATATATATCTCCTCAATATATGTTCCACTCTATATGCATCCGAAGAAGTGGGCTGTAGCCCACGAAAGCTTATGCTCTAATAAATCTGTTAGTCTCTAAGGTGCCACAAGTACTCCTGTTCTTTTTGAAAATATATTAAAAACAGCTACTATTCCAGAGGACTAGAGAGTAGCAAATGTTGTACCAATATTTTTTAAAAAGTCTTGAGCAGTGATCCTGGGAACAGACTAGTGAACTTTACATGTGTACCTTGAAAAATCGGTTTAAATTAGAATTAAAAGCAGAACACCTGAAACATCATGAGAGCATCTAATCAGCATGATTTCTGCAAAGGAAAATGATGTTTCAGTAATCTCTCAGAATTCTCTGTGTCAATGTAGTAGGGGCTAAGGGAGAACCAGTTTACATAATTTATTTGGATTTCCAAAATGCCTTTGGCGAAGTCCCACCCAAGAGACTATGAAGCAGTCATGGGGTGAGAGGCAAACTATTGTCATGGATCAAAAGCTGGCTAGGAAACAGAAAACAAATAGTCAATATTCATCCTGGCAAAAGGTTAACAGCACAGGGCCTCAAGGTTCCATGTTGTTCAATATTTTTCTTAATGATCTGGAAAGGACGGCGAGTAATGAAGTAGCAACACTTACCGATGACAAAGTAATTTAGGTTAGTCAGGACAGAGCAGAGTGAGGAACTACGAGTCCTAAACAAACTTGGTGAATGGGCAACATGATGGCAAATGAAAGTCAATCAGGTAACTAGAAAGCAATGCACATTGGAGGGGGAAATTAAGTACTCATACAGTTAATTTAGTCTCTGTAAGCTGTATCAACACAGTAAAAGAACCTGGACATCATAGTACACAGCT